GCTCCAGACACCGGGTGGGAAACCAAAAAAAAAAAAAAATTTGTTCAATTTTATTTTTTATATATGTGGTTTGATTGAGCATAAAATTTAATAAGAAGATAATTTTTTCGGCTTAAATTCAAAATATCCTTGAATCTTGTAATTCTAAATATGACATAAGATGATAATTTTACAGCGATAAAAAGTATTACTAAGAGTAATATTAAAAATAAGTTTTAAAAAATTATATGCAACGTAACTAAAGAGAAAATTGTATCACATACGTAATAAAATGTAACAGAGGAAGTAGTGATGGAAAGCTTCCATCCCAATGAAAAAGCGAGGTGGTATATATACATATGTATAGATGACATAGTTTCAAAAAACTTCTTTAAACTATTGTTGGTAAAAAATATTAGGACTATAATCAAATTTATTTATAACGGTTATGCTTGCTATAGTAGAATATTGTTATTGAAAATATATAATATAACCTAACGCGAAAATTCGATTAGGAAAATAGAGACTATCAATATATTACATTGAAATGTTGTTATGCAGAAAGTCTTGGGCTTTAGCGTTTCAGTTGTACTGTATACGAGGAGGGCCGAGGTTCTTTTCTTAGTGGGTTTTCCATTTTCTGGTATCATTATTTAGCCCATTCATTTAATTAATGGGAAATTGCCTAATTATACAAATATATTGCTATTATATTTATTTATGCTTCCGAGAGTTTAAAATAATTACATTTTATCTCACTAATTTATTAATTTCATATCAGATTTCAAGTCAGATAAACCTAGATATATACATGTTTTTGTTACCAGATACACTGAAATAAGGAGAGAGGCGAGCAAGATATGTCTATGTATCCCATATACATGCAAATCACACTAGATACACACAAGTACATGTATATGGTGTGATTCACATGTATCTGCGATACCAGATACACGATCCAGATAAGAGAGTGGCATATGAGATGGGAAGGAGGCGAGCGAGATTTGTCTATGTATCTCAGATACATGTGAATCTACTTGTGTACTTGTATTTATAACAAATTACACCTAGTTTTGACCCCATGTAATCTGAGATATATGTATCCGGACGTATCTAGATGCATCAAAATTAAATCTAGTAAAATATAAATATAACAAACTAACGTATATCTAAGTAATCAGCTCCTAAACTAATGAGATTTCGGTAAGTTATCCATTTTTTTATCCCATACCATTTTCTTAGTTTTTTTGTGGTATTACTCTAAGAAACTAATTGAGCTTAATATGAATTTGGCTATTATTACTATACATAAAGTCAACCACTGAATTTTCATTTTTATTAACCGTAGATTAGTAGCCTATTTAATGTTATTAACCTACTACAACTATTTAAAGTTTAAACTTCAATGATTGTTTAGAAAATCTTTAAATTTTAAGTGTATACTATAATTCTACCCCTTTAAAATAAGCCGTACCGCGCTATGAAACGAAATAGATTACCTACTAATTAAACTGATTCAACTTCAACATGTTGTAATTTGCGCTAGTCCTATAGCCTTCTCTTTTAGATGACCCTTCTTACTTAAAATGAAAAAAATATATACGAGTTATACGTTTTGCCACCGCATATAAGAAAATTATCAAATAGTTAGATACCCGTGAATCGAGTTGTTGTATAGTAGTTCCAAAAAAACATACTATTTTAATCAACATAAGTTGTTAAGTATCAAAAACTTGTTTAAATGATTATTGAAAATGCTTCTAAATGATTATTTGATCTACTTCCAAACAATGGATATTCCAAAAGCCATATATATATGTGGTTGATCCCCGTGACTCAACAGCTTTATTCTTGTATAATGCTGATTGACAAAAACACCCAACCCCTCTCCTCGTGACAAGTTTTTTTTTTTAATTGCAAATCATGTTTGTGATAAAATCAGATTGACAAATAAAAATATATTAAAAGACATAATATTATTATATGATATGACCAATTGACCTATATAATTAAAAACTAATAAAAAGACATTAAAATCGTAGAGAGAAAATCTTCCCACAAACAAAACTCTTAAATGTCTACATTGTGGATATTATTGTTGGGGGAGTAGAGTTCAATTTTAGATATTAATCCTTTTTTTTTTAGTACTTCCTCTGTCTCAAATTTATGTGACACATTTCGTTTTTTGAAAATCTAACAGTTTAAGTTTGATCGAGAATTTGCTCAAGAAATCATCAAACGAAATTTATATATTTGTAAACTACGTAAAAAAAAATAATACTATAAGTCATCACAATAAACTTGTTTGAATCTTAAAATTCAAAATGTATCACATAAAATTGAGACAAAAAAAGTAATACGAGTTTAAAAAAACTTAGGGGATGTTGGGTTCTGGTGCATAGATTTTGCAAAGAAGCAATAGTACTATAGAAGAGGACGAAATTTAAGAATCACGGATGGGCAACCAATTTAATGTGTCTCGTCCTCAAGTGAAGCTGTCTGGATCGAAACAAAGAAAGCAGCAGTTTTATATGTTGAGAGAGTATTTATGTATACATGGGCGGAGGTAGAGTATACCTTACATATTCAGCTGAATTCAATAGTTTTTCGTTCAAATTCTATATTTATATCAATCAATTCATTGAATATGTACTAATTGTTAATTTGGAATCTAATAATAGCAACATATATACCCAGTGAAATATGGGGTCTGAGGAGGATAGAGCATACGTAGACCTTATCACTACCTTGTGAAGGTAGAGTGACTGTTTTCGAAAGACCCTCGACTCGAATGTATCAATTAGAGTAAAAGAAGAAGAAAACAATGAAGAAAGCATTACAATCAATAAGAACAACAAAATAGAGTGATAATCGAAATACAATAAAAATATATGACAAGAACTATAAGGGGTCCTTTGGGTGGGAACAAGTTATTCTAGGATTAGTTATCCTGGGATAACTTATCCCATCACTATGGTATAAATGGTGGGATAAGTTACCCCAAACATGACAACCAAACAAGATACAAAAATTTTACCCCATCACTATTTATTTTTATCCTTCACACCAAACGAGCCCTAAGGGTATGACTAGTACTACGACATACACTAAACCTTCGCAAGGCAAGACAAAACTCTATCCGTATTAACCTTCTATCCTAATACGCGACCTCCACTCCTTCTGATTTAAAGTCATGTCCTCGGTAATATGAAGTTCAGCCCATGTCATGTCTAATGACCTCTTCCCAATACTTTTTCGGCCTAGCCCTCCATAGACCCTCTATAACTAACCCCTCGTACGTACCTCCTCACTAGGACATCGGCGCATCTCCTCTGCACATGTCCAAACTATTCCAGTCTTGCTTCCCTCATAATATTGTCTGCGCGCCACAAAGGCCACTTCCACCTTCTCCCAGATAACTTTATTTCTCATCTTGTCCCTCTTAGTATGCCTCCACATCTATCTCAATATCCTCATCTCCACAACATGCATCTTCTGGTTGATAGCTAGAATCTCGAATCTAGTACTTAAAAACCCTAGAATCACTCATCTATAAACTTCAAATTTTGACTCTACCTTTGTATATATTTTACCACTTATAAATCGTACATAACATTTTATGTCTATATAGACATTCGACACATGTTAAAAAAAGACAGTTCAATATACTAAGCTTTTGCTATATATGTACAAATTTCAAGAAAAGATCGGACCACAAAAATCTATTTACGCCGCCTCTGTTGAAATATGTAATAAGAATCTCCTTAGGCAGGCACTTGGTTCTTAAAGGAGAGAAGAGTGAACTCGTGAACTCTCTGTGTGGGCTTCCAATTTATTGATTATTTATATGTTATAAAATGTATTTTAGTCCTTTTTCTCTTTTATATTCTTTTCAACAAGCGCCAAATCTCTGATTGATAGCTCATCTTCCTTGTCAGCATTTCTTCATTTTTTATCCTGTCAACTTTATTATTGTTTTATCTTATATTCTTCCAACTTTTACATAAATATTCATAGTTACCATTTAGGATTTACCGAGGCACTAATGAGGAAATGAGATTTCTTGTCCATTTGCAAATTGATTAGAAGAAAAATTTCTTTTCAGATCTCTTATAAAAAGTCTATAAAACTAAGCACTAAAATAATTGTAAATGACCTAGAAAATCAATCCTTCAGACGAGTCTAGTTAGCTTTCACCTCAATTTTTACTACCCCATTTTAACTAATTAAGTTGGATTCTTGAAGGGTATATATATATATAACGTTTTGTTATGCACCAAATGAAACATATAATAATATTTCATGTCAATATCCTTACTAACATGAGATCGATGACCGTCGAAACTACAATAGACGCTGAACGTCTTGACCAATTTGCACATGCATGCACCTAAAAGTAGGAAAATTGAAAAGGATATTAGTACACATATCACATATATATGCATAAACCATATACAGTCGTAACAAAATCAATGGTAAACAATCATAAGACAAGATCACTACAAGCTAAGTTAGGTACTGTCAAAATAATCAATGATAGAGAGGTAATTCTGTCATTCTGTTAATTGATTATTTCCCTGCCAAGTGTGAAGTGTCCAAGGGACCTGCTTTTACTTCCATTAGTAGCCTATTTTTATTTTACTTCAGTGTTATCTTTCACAAACACAAGTTTCGAATAATTCAGGATAACAGAGTAACTCATCTTCATAATAAATTTCATACGATAACCTAAAAATAAAATAGTAACTTGCTAACACAATGGTCCCATCAATTTATATAACTTAAATCATATTTTTCTTTTTACTACGTACCATGAGGTGTTCTAAACTTATGGGGTAAAAGACAAAATGTTTGAGTTTTCATCCCTAAACTTTGAGGTAATGGGACTTTTAAGCAGTAGATAGACTTTTTTCATTTCTTTCATTTTCCACTTTGACATCCACCAACATTATTCTACTATTACTAAAACTACTAAAACTATATGTCATGGAGGCTCTCTCACTAACCCCATTCTATTCTTCTTCTTCTTCTTCTACTCAACTTCACTTCTTATTAGTTTTCCTTCTATCCAATCAACTTCACCATGGAAATTGAATCATCTCCAACACCACCATCTCCTCCACTTAAAACATATAAACTAACAGCTTCTTCAATAGGCTATTCAAAATCAACCACCATTTCTCCTGCCTTGTTATTTAAGCCTTGTGAAACACCACCACCAATTAATATCTTGAAAGATATCTCTTTCACTGCTTATCCTTCTCAGATTCTTGCTATTGTTGGACCGAGTGGCGCGGGAAAATCCACGTTACTCGACATTTTAGCAGCTGGAACTTCGCCTACAAGTGGCACTCTTCTCTTAAACTCTCTTCCCCTACATAGTCCTTCTACTTTCCGCAAGCTCTCAGCTTATGTCCCTCAACATGATTGTAGCCTTCCGCAGCTCACTGTCTCGGAAACTTTTGCCTTCTCTGCCCGTCTACTCAACCCCAAACTCAATGATGTTTCGTGCATTGTGGATTCTCTTCTGGCTGAGCTCAGGCTTACACATTTGGCTCACACAAGGCTTGCTCATGGCATCTCGGGGGGAGAACGAAGGCGTGTTTCGATTGGTTTGAGTCTACTCCATGACCCTGCAATCTTACTTCTTGATGAACCAACATCAGGTCTTGATAGTAATTCAGCTTTAAATGTAATGCAGACACTCAGATCAATTACCGACTCGCGTCAACGTACCGTGCTTTTGTCTATTCATCAACCAAGTTTCAAGATTCTTGCCACCATTGATAAAATCCTGTTGCTATCAAAAGGAACTGTTGTCCATCATGGTACATTATCATCTCTTGAAGAGTTTTTACTTGAAAATGGCTTCACTGTCCCCCCACAGCTCAATTCTCTTGAATATGCCATGGAAATGCTCAGCCAACTCAATGAGAAAAAACCCATTACACCAATAAGTTCACCTCCTAAAAATCCCACCACTACCCCTGTTCCTGAGGCTAAAACAGGGGAAATCAAATATAGGAGTTCAAGATTTCATGAAATTGCTGTTTTGTACAGCAGATTCTGGAAAATCATTTACAGAACAAAGCAGTTACTTTTAACAAACACCTTACAGGCATTAGGAGTTGGTCTTGTTTTAGGTACAATTTACATCAATATTGGATTTGGTAAAGCTGGAATCGAGAAAAGATTCGGACTTTTCGCTTTCACTCTCACTTTCCTTCTCTCTTCCACAACTGAAACTCTCCCAATCTTCATAAACGAAAGACCCATTTTACTAAGAGAAACTTCAAGTGGGGTTTATCGATTATCTTCCTATCTCATCGCAAACACACTAGTTTTCCTCCCTTACTTACTAGTCATCGCAATCTTGTACTCAATTTCACTTTATTTCTTGGTGGGTCTTTGTTATTCATGGCAAGCATTCACATACTTCGTTCTAACAATTTGGGTCATCGTCTTAATGGCAAACTCATTCGTCCTCTTCTTAAGCTCTGTTGCACCAAATTACATCGCCGGAACTTCACTGGTAACTCTACTCCTCGCCGGATCTTTCTTGTTTTCCGGCTACTTCATTACGAAGGAGACAATGCCTAAGTTCTGGACAATGCTGCATTATTTGTCCATGTACAAGTATGGATTAGATGCTTTGTTGATCAATGAGTATTCTTGCCTTGTCGCCAAGTGTTTGATATGGTACGATGAGAAAAACAAAGTGTGTATGGTGAGTGGAAGTGATGTGTTGGATAAAAGAGGACTCCATGAAAGAGAAAGATGGACAAATATATATATCTTGATTGGGTTCTTCGTATTTTATCGATTGCTTTGGTTGATTGTATTGATTAGAAGAGTTTCAAGATCAAAGAAGTGATTGAGAGAGATGCATCACTTTCATGAATTGTCAATTTATCATGTTTGTTTTTATTGTTTCTCTAATGAATTCATGTAACAAAAATAATCCTAACATTTCTCTTCTTTGTTCTTCTTTCATTATTTTGCCAACTGTGGTTAATGAAATTTTAACTTTGATAAACTTGTGACTTTAGCTTGTGTTGAGAATAAAATGTGCCCTCTCTAACATATTAAGTTTTTACATGAGATAATCGCACACTTCAACATGATATTCAAGCAGGTAGGGAAATTAAATAATAAAAGTGTGCTCTCTTAGATGAGATGGTCTAGCACTTTAACATCTTGTCTTACTTTTCTATCTGGTTTTGGACCATTAGATGATCATTATATGAGAAACATAGAGTGTATGTAAATCTTAGCTTGAGATGAAAAAGAATCAAGTCAACATGTGGGGACTAGGGAGGGATAGTCATACGCTTCAACAACTTGTCTTACTTTTATGTCTGGTTTTGGACCATTAGATGATCATTATATAAAAAAGGTAAAGTATATGTAAATCTTACTCTTACCTCAAAGAGCAAAGAGATTGTATAGGGGAAAGGATAAATATATAGTATCAATAATAAGATAGTTTGATTTTTCTGAGCTCGAGGAAAAAACAATGATGGGATAATACTATTAAGATTCATTCAATCATTAACTTACGGGTGCCCTTTAGGGTCCAAAATTCTAGTGAAAGCTATTTGGACTCTAGAAAATCACTTTCATGATTGATTAACTATATATCTATTTGTTATATAATCATTTTCATAAGAAATCAATTAAAAGTAACACACACATATATATAAGATAAGTGTATATGCAATGAAACAAATGGGGTATGAATAATTCGAAGATCTTGTCGTTATATATCATGGTCGTTGTTAATAGTCTCTTTGTTTCAATTTATATGACAAGTTTTTTTCGAGGGGATTAGTTTTATAGGTTATTCATATTTATTTATTTTAATTTTATAACTTTTTTTATAAGATATTTGTGTTTTTACATGTAAGACGTATGCAGCTTTACTAAAAAAAATGGTGTTACATAAATTGAATTGGAGGGAGTAACATGCAAGAGAAAAAAAATGAGTCATTAGGTTTTTTTTGTCTGGTGGTGTAGTAGTAGTAAAAAGTGAAAAAGGCAATGGATAATTGGTTTGCATTTGTTTGGTTGCTACAGAATCAGTGTTTGTTCACGGGTTCTTCTTATTCTTTTGCTACCACGTGAACATTTTCTTTTCTTTTTCTTATTTCTCTTAAACCCTACCTCCCACAACCAAGTGGCCTATTATTTCGATTCATCTGAATCCAATATTGAATTCACTGCGTTTATATTCAATGCTAAGAATTAGGGACCATACAAGTTAGACAAATTCAAATGTTTAATTCATTTCAATTGATATAAACCGATGCCCTCCTTTGAAAGCTTCTGGTGTTGTGAAAGTTGCCTCGGGTCAATATCGAGATTAAAATAAAGTACAAAAACAAGGTGGTGGCTGCATGTTGATTAGAGTGCAAAAACAAACAATTCAATATATATAAACATAATTTATTCCAAATCTAGTAAATATAAAGATTTGTGGTATATAGAATCTATAAATTTGAAATTATAGCTTAACAATGCTGCTAAATATCAATTTCAATCGCGTGAAAACTTACTCCAATTATTATGAACACCACCATGTTCATTGCCCTCGATGTTTTTCAGCTGAGTTTAACTACAGGGCACTGGACAAGACAATGTAACTATTCTACGCCATCAAAGTTAAATTACTTAAGATAATATTGAAGACATATTAAAAGTGATATCAGAACCGACAAAAGACTTGGGTTCGAGTCTTATGGTTTTCCATTATCAAAAATAATTTTCATGGGGTGGATCTTTCAAATCAACACGAAAGGGACATATAATTAACATGTCAAAATATATTTATAGTCCTAGGTTCATGTGTTATCGTTTCTATTTGCATGAACTTACAAAGTATAGTAGATAGCATACTGTAAAATATCAAAATATATATATAGTGTATATAAGTCGAATCATTTTCAATTATTTCGTAGGTCCATATATTAAGACTGCTTGATCTAGTATAATACATTTATTTAAAGCATCGTCGTCTGTTATCTGTCTGTTTCTCCTTATTCTTTTATCTCAAATTATAACGTTTTACCTGATCAAGACAGTTGTATTAATTTGTACACTTCGAAGGCGTCAACTAGGATATAATAACCCCAACTTTTAGATAATTTATGTCCCAGTTCTGAATTTTCTCTTACTTGTGTCTACAAAACTTGTTGAAGAATGAATTGGTGGATTTAGCCAAGCACATCAAGAGATCAAAATGAGGACGAATGAACTACCTAATTACACAAATATTCCTACCATATTTACTAATTCTCCGTATAGTTTGAAATAGTTACATTTTATCTCACTATTTAATAATTTCATATTAAATTTCAAGTTAGATACACCTAGATATATACATTTTTTATGATATCAGATACACTGAAATGAGACTAGATAGAGATGAGAGGGAGACAAGTGAGATTCGTTTATTTATCTCAAATACATGTGAATCACACTAGATACATGTATTTGCTCTAGGATATATACCAGTTAAGCAAGCGAAAAATGAGAGTGCCGAGTAAGATTGGAGGGAGGCGATGGAGGCAAACGGAATATGCCTATGTATCTCAAACACATGCAAATCTACTTGAATACAATGTATCTAAAACAAATTATATGTAACTTTAACCCCATGCATTCCGAGATATACATATATGAACATATCTGGACGCATCAAAATCTGATAAAATTTGTGATTTTACAAACTAACGTAATTAATTCCTATACTAGTAAAATTTCTGTAAATTACCCTCAAAATAATGGATCTCATGTCTTAAATGTTCCAGCCTTGAGGTTTTTAGGAAAGAGTCCAACTCGCTATGAACACGAAAGCTTGTAAAGCCACAACAAAAGGAACAAATCTAGAAGTGACTTAGCAAGAATATAATCCAATTCAACACGAAGTAATGGAGAAGCCTTTTACAATTAATAAAGAGAAATCTAGTACTCCCTCTGTCCAACAATATTTCACACACCTTAAAAAACAATAAATAATAGAGATAATATTATTATTTTACCCTTTAACTTTATTAAAATTAATGTTTTGAGAAATGTGTTAGATGATAAATAATAGTATTTAATAACAAAGGTAAAATAGACACAAAAAATAAATTATCTCTTGATTTTCTAAACTAAACAAGTATTGTTGGACAATTATTTTTAGTATAGTGGACAACTATTGAAGTACGTAGAAAATCCTTTTTCATTTTGTTACCAACAAGAAGCTCATGCTTCAGCTTGAGCCAGAGATGGCAAAATCCTGCTTAGTGTCACCTTCTCTATGATCACCCAAAAACATGAATACCCTTATACACCATGTTCAATCTCTCAATATTCCTTCCATTAATCCATTTATTCATGCACCAAAACAACCTACCGAACATTTCTTTTATGGTTTCATCTAATATCAACCCACCCCTGCTCTACCCAGAAAAGAAGTGGACTAGACTGATCTGAAAGCATCATCGTGTTCACGGTTAATTACACCACCTCATTCAAACAGGTATTTCCAATGGAAATGAAACTTGTTGAGTATGAGGGTGAATTAAATTACTGTACAGTAACAAAGAGATTTCAAATAACTAAATTGACATGTTGAAACAGCAAGTTAATAACAAGGATGGACATGCAGCCGATTTTCAATGGGGAAAGATGGGTGGACACGTATGTGAAAAAACTATACATATTCTAACAAATATGGTAGCTCATTGATAAGAATGGAAATAGAACTATGCATGTTGCGATCTGTTCAGGGAAAGACCAAACAGAATTGGAAGGCTAACTAGAATAAGCTGATTGATCCAGGTAGCGATATGCTCCAATCCAGAGGAACTTTAGATCTAACAATAGGGAACATCCAATAGCAGTAGTCATCAAGGTGAGTTAACGATTCCGTTACTAGGATAGAGCATCTAAAAATTATCTCCTCAAAAGTTGAATATGAAAAAATATGTTGATGCCATCCCATAGAAAGATGAGACGTACTATAAAATCTAGGGTTATGATTTCACAAAATGGATTTTTCAGGAAACCCATTATCAGCTTCAATTGTGCTGATATGCTTCTTTACCTAATAGTCAAATCTTGAACAGCAAACAGATCCAATACTAAAATGCAAGCACACTTCACATTCACTGCAAAACTATCTTAAACCTTTAAAAGGACTATTCTACCATTCTTCATTGTACTAGTGTATACATACCACGTAAAAACATCAAAAGGACGAAGAAGCATCTAATGAATGTAATACAGACTTTATCCAACTCTTATTGTTTAAACACATTTAATGACATGAAAGACAATATACTGAAGTTACCAAAATGAAGTCAGACTGTAACTAGGAACACAATTGGCACAACACTTTGTCTAAAGTTGGTGCAGCAAGTTTTGAGAATGTATTGAGCTCAACCTGAGTCGTTCTTCCATCACTGATGATAGAACGTCATAATTGAAGGGGACGACCAAGTCAAATGCAGTATTCGATATCTCAATCCATTTGATCCTGAAGGTATTGTAATCCGCCAAGGCAAAATCAGATTATGAAATGCTTAAGAACAAAAAATCTATGTAGAGTTGACTTTATGTTCATTTTTTCAGTTGATAAAGTAGAATTTTTTTTAACAATAAATGGTAATGAACAATGAGAAATGTACCTTGAAAAATTATCCAAGGCCTCTGACATACTGATCGAGGGTAGAATTAAATAGCTCACACCTACATAAACAATGACCAAATATATGCTCATTGGAAATTTCACAGGGAAAAAGAGGGCAACATTTTGTGATTCACAAGAGTACAACCTGGGAATTATTTATTTTTCATTCTCTTTTCTTTTTAAAAAGAAGAACCCAT